AAAAACTGTTTACTTTACAGCATACCAAGGTTGACGAAAGTGGGACAACCCACAGGGTTGTGACCAGGGCTTTGAAAAGTATTATGAGATCATGTGATTCTGAGACATTTTGTTTTATAATTTCCAGGGCAACACACAAGCTCTGACAATGGAATGGAGTCTTTAGATCTGAAAATAAACATTTAACTCAGAACTTTTAGTTGTCTGCATTTTATTTGGGCATCCAATTTTTAACATTGTCTTACATCATCATCAGTATTGCTGTTGATTTATTGTTTTTACAACTATGAATTCACCTCTGTGGAACTCCATGAGAAATGCTGTTTTTATCTGACTCATTACTACTAAAGGTTCTACCAGTAAAGCAAGATGAGACCTTAATCAGAGGTAATATTAAGGTTAAAATTAGCTTAACTAGCCATAAAAGTAATATTCTGGTACTTTTTGCATAATGTGTTACCAGTGGAGTTCTTGATGGCCAGYGAACCAACTGTCTTCAGACTAATAACAAGCTCATTCTGTGTAGATGTGAGCTGATCCCTTACATTTCTTATGACCATCCTAACCTCATGGGGCAAGCTCTTGCATGGAGCTCTGGGCCGAGGGGGTGGGGATTGATGAATATTTTATACTGCATTTCCTCCATTTCTGAATGATCATTTGCATAGTTTTAACCTCATCAAGCGTTCTGCCGATGATCTTGGAGCTCATTCCAGATCTACTGTCTTGTTTCTGACCTCCTTTGACAGCTCTTTGGTCATGCCCTTGGTGGTGGAAAAACTGAAATAGGAGAAACTAGTTCTATGGACAGATGGGCTCATACACAAAGGTTGAGATCAGGATTGGTTGATTAACTGACTGTCAGCTGTGAGCCACATGGGCACATAACAATTAATTTGCAGGAGCCAGAATTCTGGCTRGATTATAGTGGAATTAAACATTTCCTTCCCTTAATATTTAGCAAATCAACTGTTAATTTTTCTACCATGTTTCTTTTTCTATCATTCCTCTCTAAATTGAAGCTATCATTAAAAGTACAGAATGTTTATTTCGTTGCAAGTGAGCAAAGTTACCAGATCAGCAGGGACTCTTGTAATTACCTAGCGTGCTTATTTAATTGCAGTTAGACAGCATTTTCTAATTTTCTATTCAACAATGTTAAATTTGAAATTGGCTTGTAACTCTGAAGTAATWTGACTCTGCTTTAACAGTCTCATTGCAGTTGGATGTTTTCAGAGCTGCAGGGAAAAGGAAACAGAGGAAAGAAAACATTTATCATTACAGTGATCTTATCTGCCGAGCAGACAACTTTTGAACTGCTTRGCTGGATCAAGAGCACATGATGCAGATGACGTTTTTCAGCTTGCACTTATGAATAGAATGGTCATTACCGGAAGATATGAACTAATGTCGAGTGGGTGTTCCTGTTCAGAGAATTAAAGTCTGACATCTGAATGTGTCCTTTCAGGTTTCAGAACAGCTGCAGGTATAACGTTTGCCTWAAAGAGGCTGAACAACACTCGTGAAGACCAACTGACAGGTTAAATCTAACAGGTTAGACGAGATGATAGCTGCTGATTTGTTTTGTTGAAATGCACACAAACTTAATTAACTTTTCTGGAAGGTATCATTAGTACCATTTGTCATGGCTGTTTATCTATGGTAATATGGAACATTCAAGTCTTAATGGCTACATTATTATTGGTGCCAATGCTTAAACATWGAAGCATCTTTATTACTATTCTGTTGGTATAAGTAAGATAGTGAATGGTCATTTGTCTCMTTTGTCTCTATGTGGCAATATAAGGGACAATAACTGCGGGAGATAGGCACCRGCTTCCTCACAATCCAGAAAGGAAAAGTATGGTAAACTAAATTGATTATTGATTAAAGGGGACAGATCATACAAAATATACTTTTATAAGCCAACTAATACATTTTTTTGTTTACTTGGAGTCTATAGGAGTGCAGAAAAGCTGAATTGAGTCTCTCTCTGTGTTGCGTAGATATCTTTATATTCAGTCTGTGTCATRTTTTTCAACCCGTTCAGTTTTCTCTGTTTTCTGAACTATTACATCAAAGTATTTGCTATGAAATTGTCAAATAGGGTCTGGACTTACCAACTACAATTTCATCATCATCATCATTCTCCTCTTGCTCTGGGTCAGACTCTGGCTCCAACAGGCAAGGCTGGATGGATAAGTCTTCTGTTGTTGACACATTTTAATTCATTTGTAAATAAGACATTTCTGCACTGCTATATAGCCGTAAACACTTCTCGCAAACTTGAATGAAGCGATATGGAAGCTGGAGGGCCTTACATGTTGGATCAAGAGTCTGACCCAGAGCGAGAGGAGAATGAAGATGATGAAATTTTAGTTGGTAAGTCCAGACCCTATTTGACAATTTCATAGCAAATACTTTGACGTAATAGAAGCTGAAGGGGGGTGGGGGAGAAGTGCCTTGCTTGGGTTTAAAGAGACAAAATTGTTGGAGACACACCTCAGAAAAGGGGTGAAAGAGGGGCTTGTGGAGTTACAATAAAGAATTCAACTCAATTCAATTCAGTTCAATTCACTTTATTTATATAGCCAAGTCACAACAACTGTTGTCTCAGAGCACTGTATAAAAAATAAAAAATAATAAAAAAACAATACATCTTAAGAAGCCAGCAGACTGCACCAAATTCAGACCAAAGCATTTCAGTTCCACTTTACTACAGTAGACCCCAGCTGCATGATTTAAATGTGAAAAGAAGGATTTAAAAGCAWACGTCTCCTTTAAAGCTACAGTTTGTAGTTTTGAGAAAATAGTGGACTTATTTGGAAAACTTATACAAACACACCTTACAGGTCCGTCCCCCATGTTCTCTGCTGCACTCATATCCACCTGTCTGGACATTGTGACAGTTTCAACAAATATGCTAAAAAATAAATTTTTATAAAAGTTACCTAAAGCAGCTTTATGTGTTCTTATAATTAGCATTAACTATAGCACAAATTCAAATGTTGAAACTGTGATTCTGTGGTTTAATTAAAATAAATGTGACCATCAGTAACAGTATGTGCTCTATTTTATCTATCAGATGGGAAYACAATCAAATGCTGAATTATTCTAAGGGAAACCTGAAGAAAAAAAACATATGAATGCTGACATGATCCTTTTCATCCCGAAACATTTAATCCAGATTTTCAAGTGACTGTTGGGTCTGATGAACCACAGCCTGAAGATAAATAAATTTGCGTTAATGCGTTTTACTTCCCTCCCCTCTAAAATAATAATAATTTGTAATAATGACTAAGGTGGTAAGTTGATACAGATAATAAAGCACATGTTTTTTACTATTACTAAAACTTTTTAAAGTAATTATGGAATTTGTGCTCGGTCCTTTTTCTGAGTTTCCGGTTTGATTGATGCTCTTCTCGTCATGTTTTACACAGTTTGAATAAATGAGACACAAGCTTGTAATAAATTGGCAAAATTGTTAATTAGAAAACGCAGTGATAAATGGAAAAAATCTGCACGCTAACAATGCACTATTAATTTAAATAATGCTTACTCATTCATTTTTAAAAGGAAAAAACAAACCGTTTCCTGCCAGTCATTAAAATTCTTACTTTTTTAAATTTCCAATTTACTGAAATCAATAATTTTATTATCAAASTTGTGTTTTGCCTGGAGTTTGACAAAAAATATCTTTTGAAGCAGCTTTATTTTTGGTGAAGCGTGACAGTGTTGCCTCAGGTTGAACTCTCCTCTCTGGCACCTACAGAATTCTGTTCAGAGCCTGCGAGTACCACGCTCTCAACATAATTGTCTTGTCCGTCTCAAATATAAAACAAAATGATAATAATAATAGAAATGAAGTTTTCACTAAGCAAACAACAGAACACACACACACACACACACACACACTCAGTCACAGGGTGACTCCTGTTCACCTATTGACCTGTTTAAAGGCTCATATTCTCTGTCAGAAAATAACCAACTCTATGGCGACTGGCTTTCATAGAATATTAAAAGTTGTGAAGGCAAAGACAGAAATTCCAACAGTGAATTTACTGATATCAGTGCCCCTGTGGAGAACATAAGTTATTGTAAGCTTAATTCAAACACAGAATGATTCACCACTGAAGAAAAAACTCCCAGTGCAYGGTCAGACTCAAAAACATTGAAAACTGTTGGTTTGTGACATTTTTTGTGATCACTGCAATAAGTTGGAGTTAATACTTTAGTCCACATACAGTATATTGTTAAATGTTGAGCTCAGTTTAAACACAAGGGCATTTTGCCTTTTTTTCAAATTGTCTATGTGTGGGTCATCCTCTGTGAGGTGAGGAAAATTATAGTTATAGGTTTTTTTAATGCTCCTACATCATTTTGTTTTAATGCTCCTACATTATGCATTGTTTGTAGGGAGTAATGTGAGTTTAACCTATTTAACATAATTGAAAGAATCTACAGCTTCAACACAAATTTGCAGGTTTTATACAAAAAAAATCATGCCAATGATTRCAAATAATTAGTTGGCATATTATTAAAGTATTTCTTTTTTGTTTTATTGATTTCATCACCACTGAGGATGTCTCACTTTCACTGGGTTGATTGTTGGTAGCACAGGCTTAAAAGATTTTCATGAAACATGCTGTACACTAAATTGGCTAAGGAACAATTCACCTGATTAAGTGGTGTTCTGGGATTCTCTTCCATTAGAAAATAAATTAGCTGTAGCGATTGTATTAYCAGACACGAAAGCTTAAATCCTGAAACCCAAATGTTCACTAACAAAAAGCCGTGTAATTCCTGTTTTATTATTTAAACGCYTTACAGCTTGAGCCACAAATGGTTCTCTGATTTTTGACTTTTTTTTTTCAAAACAAATACATGCCAGGATTCCAAACTGCATCAAATCATTCTAATTTCATTTAGCTGTAGTTAAAAAATAAAACAAGAGAAAAATGACTCGAAAATCAAACCACCCCCCCACAAAGTAATCTTACCTTTCTTTTAGCTCTGAGCTGTCCGTGGTAGTTATCRGATGTGTCTCCAGGAATCTCACCCCCCCACAGAGTTACCCCCACAATGGTGTAAGTGATGCCCATCACCACTAAGGGTAACACGTAGACCAGAGCTGTCACTATGATATGATACCTGGAACAAAAGGCAGAGAAAAAAACATGATTATGTTGTTTACTAATGTCAAAATTTTATGTTCTGGTTCTGCTTCTCTGGTTAGCAATAAAAATGTGAAAGAAAAATAAACACAATGGTTGTTCAGCAGGAGGAAGATTGCTTTACTGTAGAATGAACAACACATGATGTCAAACTGTAGTAAGTGTTAATTAGTGTTGCTTGGCTGAAAGAAAAAACACCATTGCAGATCAGTATTTTAAAATTAATTTTAGTGTGTTAATTACAGATGCGACAGCTGTCTATTCTTTGCCATGTAGCACATTTTGTTGCTGTTATTTCTATCTAGCACTTTTTTACAGTTTTTCACATGCTAAAAAACTAATTATATTATTTACTTGTTAAAAAAGGATAAATAAAGTAAGAATGTCCAGTTATTTTGCCTTATTTTTGCTTTTCATTCATATGTTGTGTAGTTTTTAAGTAGTTTGCAGTATCAAACTAAAAATAAACATCAGAAGCTTACACTGCATTTGCTGCTAATGTCACATGTTCTTGCWCAGGGTTTTGATAAGAAGCAGCAATAACAATGGCTGAGGAGGAAATGACAAAAAAAAAGATAATGCTGTTATGAAGAATATTTGCTCACATGATGGGGTCATCAGCCATGCGAGGCCAGTCCACGTAGCAGATGGTTCTGCGTGGCAGAGTTTTGGTGGTGGAGAAGTAGCACAGAGGGAAGGCCAGAACCACGGCCAGACTCCAGATACAGACGATGATCCCTGTGGTGACCTTTGCTGAGAGACGAGGCTTCAGAGGGTGAATGATGGCCATGTATCTGCAAAGAAACAGAGCGACAGGTTGAAAGATAGTTCTGTGGTTGGACTAACAAAAGAGGTAATTAATAAATGAATAATGGATTGCATGCTTTTAAAAAAGTTTAATTGAATGACAGTTAATCAGTACCCTAAGGAAAATTACATTACTGCAGAACAAACTAGTGAAAGAAAAATTCAACATTAGAAGTCGCTGACAGAATGACCTTTCATGCCAATCTGTACTGCAGTGAGTGATTTAAAAAAGAACTTTGTTTGATATATATGTCATGTAGAAGTTGTGTAGATTAGAARCTTGTGCAACATTTTTCTTTTCACACGTAGCATTTCTCAGCACACACCCAGCCTTCTTTGTTTTTCTGGTTCAAGCCAGAAAGTTACAGATTCAGCATGAGACTTGGTCATTTGTATTAAGAATGTATCTATAACAGAYAATATCTAATAGCTACCTAATTGTTTATAATCAGAACTTAACTTTAAGKGGGAGGGGTATTATGCAAAATCAACTTGAACTTTATATCATGATATATATCACTCCCTCATCAAAAACCAGTGGTGGGCAATTGCAGACCTAAACATTTCATTTGCGCTTTAGCGGTCTTACTAATTTTTATAATTCATGAGCAGATTTGCGCTTTCTAAAATTAAAATGCAGTACCACTAATAACTAATTATCTACCAGTCATCGTTATCTTGAACAGTGGAAGGTACGGCTGTCAATGAATCACAACACACATGATCTATCCAACRCACCCCTTCCAGATACACACACTTATTGGAAACATATACATCCATGCTGACTGTTGCTGTTGGTCACGGTTCTCATTTCCCACAATGCTTTGTGTCTGCTTACGTAGCAGGAAGGCAATGTTTAGGACTCCCTGTCCCAGCAAAAACAGTAAACGTTTGTAATCCACACTAAAATTTTGAATGCATTGATTTATTTTACTTTACAATCGGAGCTCCTTTTTGAAAAAAAAAAAAAAGTTTAAATGCTGGAGCTCAATACTTGACGTAATTGGTTGAAACAATCTGCCAACRGGGTTAGACAGACATCTAGTGGTCAACTGGAGCAACTACATGGAAAACTTTCGTTTCCCGTCACAAATCAAATMCGTCATGTGCCCAGAATGCATTGCTTCAGTTTTCCAATAAACAGTTTTAAAATTGCTTTATTGATGCTTCTTTAATGAAAAATCTACAACAAACAAAAGAAGAAGACAAAGAAGCAGCCGAACTAGCAATCCTCAATGACTTTTTAAAGAATCAGCCGAACTAGCAATCCTCAACAACTTTTTAATTTTTACACCAAGAACCAAAGTTCTGTTTCAGGAAAYCACATCCCCAGCAATCGGTGGTTGTAGGATTWAGTTGTAAAAGGGTTCATACACCRCTAGTTGRCAGTGTTGTACAAATATTGTACATGAATTATTGCCAGCTATTAAGTGTCAAATTGAACTTGTGCTTTAAATTTAGCTCCCGCTAGTTATTCTATGGCATAAGCATTTTTGAAGTTGCAGACCTAAATATTTTTCATAAGCGCTTTATAAATTGTGGAGCGAATTGTTGGGTTAGTGCTGTCCACCACTGTCAAAAACATATCCAGAGTCAGAGTGTTGCCTTGACTCATTCATGCATGTTTGAGACATCCTAGAATCTCCTGTTGTAGCCAAGTGGAGCTACCTAAACCAGTGGTGCCAAAGTCAGTCTTCAAGGGCTGGGGTCCTGCATTTTTTAGGTGCTGCTCTTGTTCAACACAGCTGAACCTATGGAGTGCTTAATTAGTAGGCCTTGATGGCAAACTGAGAATCATGTGTTTAAATCCGATGTGTTGAAGCAGGGACAAATCAGCTTGCAGGAGACYGGCCCTTGAGGACTGGAGTTGGACATGCCTGGACTAGTACAAAGCACCACCTATTTACACAAAGCTCCTCTCTGGAGCTCAGTCTCCAGCTAAGCACCCCTCCCCCGAAGCAAGATGTGCTGGGAGTGTCGTAAATGGTAGGAGGTTCTTAAAGAGACAGAGGTTAATTTCAAGGCATTTAGATAGACTTTGATGCAAAGTCAAGTTTACTTTTAATATATACAGCATTTAAAAAGACGAAGTTAACTGAACTGATTCTATTGAGCACCTTTAAGTCCAGATTGAGAGCATTARAGATGACTTCCTTGAAGTGTGAATGTTTTTAATAGTGATTTTTGTATTGTCTTTTAATTGTGTAACTGTATGTGAATGCATATTTTTGCTGCCTCTTGGCCAGGACTACCTTGAAAAAGAGGTTTTTTAATCTCAGTAGGACTTTGTTAAATNGTGTAACTGTATGTGAATGCATATTTTTGCTGCCTCTTGGCCAGGACTACCTTGAAAAAGAGGTTTTTTAATCTCAGTAGGACTTTGTTAAATAAAGGAAATAAATAAATAAATAAATATAAATAACAACTGAAGGTAACATAGTTACTTGTTTGTGGTATAGAATTGAACTATGTGCCTGGGACATGCATAACAACACCCCTCACCCACCAAAACGTTAATAACTTTTGATTTTATGTCAAATAAAATGTCATTTAAAAAGTTTAGAGTTCCTAAAGTTTGAAAGTCAAATCATAAATCAAAATTTGTGACATTTTTTTTAGCTCGCAGGGGTGATGGCAGGGGTTATTTTCAGAAATTCCTGACCCTAATCTTAATCAATTAAATATTATTTCAGCTCAGAAGAGGTTTTTTTAGACATTTTTCCCCACAAAAATTACACTTATTTTCTGAGAGGCAGCATGCAGAACTAGTGCTGTCTGGTTGTTTTTTTTATTAAGTTTGAAGTAAAATTGATGAATGACTCATTCCACATCACTGGGATCCATTTTTTTTTCATGGACCTCACAGTGAAACATTGAAAAAAGGCACCTTTCCAAAAGCACTGCTCAGTGTGCTGCGTGATTTTAAACTGGTAATTATACGAGCTTTGAGGAGCTAATCCAATCTTACTGAGATGGCAAAGGAAAAAAAAATGGTCCTTTCTTTTTCCCTCCAGTAGCCCGAAGTCTCTGGGGAACTGCAACAAAGATTCATCCAGTCTCAARAAATAGTGTGGAACTCACTGGCCTTCGTTAGATGTCCAATCAAATCTGTGTTAAAGCAGCAGAGTTATTTAGGATCCAACAAGCTCACATAATGGTGGCTGATGTAATGTGCTTGAAATCACTGAAGATTCTTATTCAGTGTTATTTGAACAAAATTGAACRCACAGCAAGTATCTAGACACATGAAAGTACATTTACAGCTGTATTTGCTTCAACTTGGACTGACCACAACAATCTTATAGGTTTAAACAAAAAAAACRTTTTCAAACATATTTTCTGTTATGTTTTGTCTGTTTTGAGGTGTGCCATCCGGTAAACACTATACAGAAAAGCTTGGACAGGATATTGTTTTGAAACCACAGTGGTCTTATATTGCAAAGTAAAAATTTTATTACCACAAGATATTGAACTAGCAGAGATTATTACAGTGTTCGGACCAAATGTCAAGTTGTCTCTCAAATCTGGCCAACGACAATAATCAGGGTTTCAATCATCAGCAGCATATTTCCACTAGAGTTTAAATCACCTTTATCAGATTTTCCAGCACCAAGCATAAAAGGGAGAACAAAATGGGATAAAATAGATAGAGATGTTGAATTGATTTAAATATTTATTAGACAAAATGTCCAGTGATTCATATCTGTGAGTGATTTTGACCAAGAGTTTGCAAAATAATCTCTAATAATAGAGCTAAAGATTTCTATAACTCCTAAAATTAGATTGACTTGGGTTTTTTTGGGGCTATATTACTGTAGCTTTCTGACAGATTTCATAATTTTGCTGTCTTTACTCTGTGAACTCTCCAACTCTCCATACAGACCTGTGTTTGTCTCTTTCAATTGACTCTACATCATTCCTGTGGTTCATGTCTTTTTCCTGTCCTCTCAATCTGCAGCCAGTAGAGGTAGATGGCTGCCCATCCTGAGCCTGGTTCTGCTGGAAGTTTATTCCTGTTAAAAATGAATTGCTCCCTTCTACTTCCATGTTGCTCAGGAAGGTGGAGTGAGATGCAATCGTCTGGCTTTCATAGATGGATAACTTTTACTAATTGGTTTATCTATAATTGGCCTATCTGGGAGTCTTGTTCACAAGTTCTGGAGGAAGAGATGGATCGACAAATCTGGGCCCTCATCCTCAGTAATGCGAGTATTGTTTTGGTCTGTCATGGTGAAAAAAAGAGTTGAGGAAAAAGACAAAACTCAATTTATTAGTTTGTTTATGTTACAACCCTCACCTACGGTCATGAGGTATGGATCACGATGGAAAGAATGAAATCCTGGACAGAAGTGGCTGAAATGAATTGTTTGAAGGATTGCCAGGCTCAGTTTAGGTAAAAGAGCTGGGACTTTTATCACATAGGGGCAGAGCTTCAACAAAATTACTTATGATTGAAGTTGCAGCATAAGAACTGTATATCTTATTTAATATGGTGGTGGTAGTATTATGGTTTAGGTAAACCACAATAAAGGTTTGCCAGAATGGCTTTCCAACATTGGTGAGACACTGGATCAAAGAGTTTTGATTCGTGCAAGTGAATTTTCAAAGTAAGCTCGTGTAACTGGAAAGTGATACCCAAAAAAAAGTAGGTCACATAGAAAGACCTTAAGACTTGGCAAACAAGTGGTTCAGCCAAAGGATGGATAAAGAGGAATAAAGTTAATGTTTTGGAATGACCAAGTGAAATTCCTGACCTAAATCCAATGTAAAGGTTGTGGAGGGAAGCGAAGCGAGTAGTGCACAATAGTTGAAGCTGCTCTACAGGGGTGATTACTGATGTGCATGACAGATCAACCATTTCAAGAAACTTTATGGTTTATTGTTTATGCATAAGGGTCAAAAGAAGCAACCGCTCCTTTTGACACTGATTTTTAAAGAACGAAAACAATACGATGGACAAGAGTATAAATTTAAAGATTAGTCAAAATCAACAACTGTGATGTTACCATTTGCACTGGAACAAGCTTTTTTTTTCCCCCGCAATGCCAAGAGAAACAGATTAGGCTGCTGAGAGAGAAAAAAAAAAACGGGAAGGACAAATTCACAGATGATCACGAACTGTGGCCTCTGCCATTTGAAGACATCAGAGCAGAGACAGAACCATACTGGGGTTCAGGAAAAGCATGACCCGAGGGTACATCTGCATTGTGTAAGGTCACAGCAATGTTCCCTTTCTCAGTAAACATTTTACAAGATTGAAGGGACTCTGCAGGCCAAAACTTCAAATCAACGGAAGCCAAAATCAGCACGGCTCGAGGAAAAGCATTGTTCAGTTTGTGTGTCAAAAGGGAGGCACTGGACAAAGAAAACACCTCGCACAATTTCACAACACACTGCRATGCTCCTCCACTGGCTGCAGCACACACTGCGCTTCCTTCTGCTTAGCTTTTTAAAATTTGCTTGCATCCGGCCTGTGGCTGCCTCCTTCATCAGTTTAATACCTTAAAGTCAAGTATTATGATGCACGGCGGTTCACTGATCAAAGCCGAGCTGATGGTGTTTGCACCTCCAAATGACTGGAAACCACACGAGCAGGCGAACAGAAACAAAGAAACCAGAGGGGAGGGAAAAGAAATGTGTGAAAGAGCAGCAAGGATGAGTGCATATGACAGAAAACAAGAGAGTTGGAGCAGGAAAAACGAGAAAGGGGGAAATCTTTACTTATTCACAAAACAATCCATTCAGTTTATGAGGTTAGGCATAAATACACATATATATGGAAAATGGTTTAACTGCACAGTACTGAAAGACACAAATTGTGGCAACACCCCCAAATATACTCCCCTGTATAAAGGATATTTTAATGCTTTAAAAATGTTATTCATGACTTTGTAAACACGTTATGAAGGTTTCATTCATAAAACAGATATAAATTAATGAAACAGGATCACTTTGGCAAGATTAAGTACTGTATTTTTATTTATTTAGTCATGATTTTGATCAAATCAGGTCAGTAAGTTACCTGAATGTAAGTATTTTTTAGATACAAAAAATGTTTTGGAAAATAAAAAATATATTAGTATATTTAGTTACAATGTAAATTAACTAGAATGAAAAATGTTTTCTTGAATATATTTCGCCAAACAGTGAGCCCAATACAAATAATGACTAAAACCTCTGCAGGAACTAATTCTACACAAGGAGGCAAAATGAAACTAAAGCAAGATAATTTGGACTGAAGTCTATAGAAATATTATTTCATGGCTTTAATGTTCAAGAGGAGTTCAGTTTGTCTTTAGGCACTAAATATCACAGGGATGAGTTTTATTTTTTTAAGCACTATTTTTTTTATAACTGCCTCTGCTACAGGCCAGGATAATTAAGCCTATTGATCAGGAACAAAATATATGTTTGTCCAAAGGCTAAAATCATACTGTTTGTGGTAGCATTATTAAATAGTTTGTTTATCAAAAATTGAGGGTTTCTTTAACCAAGACTGAATTTAAAATCGATTCATTATAGCCTACATTAGGACTATGATCCTGAATTCCTGTTTGTTTCATGACTCTCATCAATACGCTCCATAATTTATAATAAAGAATTCTAAATTTTCTGTTAGAGTTTTGGGAGTGAGATTCATGTTTCATTTTTATCTTCTCCGTRTGTTTCCTGAACCCACCTGTCCACAGCTATCGCAGTCATCGAGTAGATGCTCGCGAACACAGATGTGACCGGGAAGAAGTTGTGGAACTTGCAGTAGGCTTCCCCGAAGTACCACTCCCCGTGCGTCGCGTAGATAAAGTTAATCAAAGTGTTAAACGCGGCCATGGACGCGTCCGAGAACGCCAAGTTGAGCAGAAAGTAGTTGGTCACCGTGCGCATCCGCTTGTGAGCCAGAATGATCCAGATAACGATGATGTTCCCGAACACGGCCACCGCCAGCACGACGCTGTAAGCGACCGACCAGAGGGCGACGCGCCACGGCGGCTGCACGAACTTGTTGGTGTAGTTCGACGTGAAGTTGGAGCCGTTGTTCTGCGGAGCCTCCATCCTCCTCTGCTCGGCTCCCGGTCCACCCCCAAAGTGAAGTGAAGCTTTCCGCTTTGGTCTACCTGCTGCTGCTGAAGCGCAAATCTGGAGAGGCAGGAGAGGGTTTGCGCACCGGCGCCATTGCGCACGAGCTCAACGTTCCTAAAACGCACTCATCCTCCACTTCCACGGACTCTGTCTGCTGGACCTGTGAGCGGAAAGCTTCCAATGTGGGCTGGAAGCAAATGTCACTCGYCTCTGTGCCTGTTGAATGTGAGAGTGGGCGCGCATCCCCCTCCTCCAGCATCAACAGGCAGGGTGACGCAGCGGCTGCCAACAGTGACAGAGATTGATCGCTACTTGCGGGGCTTCTGTTTTAAACTTCATAAATAACAAATAATCTACGCTGTCTGTCTCTCTGCGGTGCTCTGAGCATCTGGATGTTTCCTGATCTGAGCAAACAGGATATTAATATGTTGCAGGCAGAGAGTATTTTTGCAACTCATCTTTCTGAACCGTTGGCTGCGATTTGCAATCACTTCAGCGTCCTGTTTTAATTCAGGGATTTAAAACTGATAACAGATTGCAAACGATTTTATGGATCAGTATTAAAGATCTTTTGAAGAGGGTCCGTGTAAAAAGTTTATGAACCATTTGTGTGTGTTGTTGATAGGATTTATATAATCTCAAATTGGAGAAATCCACTTGAGTATGCAAATAAATACGTGCTGATCATAAACCCACAGAAATAGACTGTGTACATGTCAGAGGCTGCAAATGTTTCAGGAGTTGCACAAACCTTTTACTACTCAGTCTTTGCACACATACATTCATGTAATAACACAAACATTGTTTAGTTCAGACAGAAGCAATTACAACCCCTGGCAAAAAAGTATGGAATGACCAGTCTTGTATGAGCACTCATTCAGACATTTCATTCTGTAAAAAAAACTCAGAAGAAAAACATACAACAATAAGGTCATTCCAAAGTGCAACTTGTTGGCTTTCAGGAACACTCAAAGAAATGAAGAGAAAACATTGTGGAAGTCAGTGAATGTTACTTTTATTGACCAAGCACAGGGGGAAAAGTATGGAATCACTCAATTCTGAGGAAAAAAGTATGGAATCACTCAAATTGGAAGTAGAAAATAAAGACACACCTAGTCAGTTTCCTTTCCCTAAATTGGTGCCTGCCTCAGATTAGATCTGCTCGTTAGTCTGCAGTTAAAAACACCTGCAGTCATGACACATTGGAGAGCTGCTTGACGAAGTGGAGCGGCAAGAACCATGGCTCCAGCAACAGAAATGTCTCTTGAAACAAAAGAGAGGATTGTGAAACTTCTTGAAGAAGATAACTCTTCATGCATGGTTGCTAAAGATGTGGGCTGTTCACAGGCAGCTGCAGTGTTGTGCAGCACTAATCCAGAAATTAGCTCCACAATTTCTAAAGCACTTATGAAAAAATTTAAGTCTGCAACTTCAAAAACGCTTATGTTAAAGAAAAAATTGGCGGAAGCTAGTTTTAAGGCACAAGTTCAATTTGACACTTATTAGCTGACAATTCATGTACAACATGCATAATACTGCCTACTAGTGGTGTACAAACCCTTGTACAACTTAATCCTACAACTGCTGATTGCAGCAATCTGATTTCCTGAAACAGAACTTTGGCTGATGGTGTAAAAATTAAAACGTTGTTGAGGCTTGCTAGTTTGGCTGCTTATTTAAAAAGTTGATGAGGATTGCTAGTTCGGCTGCTTCTTTGTCTTTTTCTTTTGTTTGTTKTAGATTTTTCATTAAAGAAGCATCAATAAAGTAATTTTAAAACTGTTTATTGGAAAACTGAAACGATGCATTCTGGGTACATGACGGACTGACGGGAAACGAAAGCACAGGGAACAGGAAACTAGTATCTTCCCTTCAAAATAAGAGCTTGAATTTTAAAGTTTTTCATGTCTCCATTAGATTTTAAAGTTTCCCAATTCACCTGAAACTCATCAAACTGAAGAAATCTCCTGGCGGAGAGACGAAACATTTCACTAAAGGAGAAACCATCCAGAGAACCTACTTATTTTTTCCTTTTGACTTTTTCTACCTGGATTAGGACGTTTTCCATGTAGTTGCTCCAGTTGACCACTAGATGTCAGTCTTCACCAGCATAACATCTTTAAATCATTTCTGAGTCTCTAACACCATTGGCGGATTGCTTTTGAGCTCCAGCGTTTAATTTTTTTTTTTTTAAAGGAGCTCTGATTTTAAAGTAAAATAAATCAATACATACAAAATTTTAGTATGGATTACAAATGTTTACTGTTTTTGCTTTTGCCTTCCTGCTACATAAGCAGACACAAAGCATTGTGGGAAATCAGAACCATGGCTCAAAGGGACAGTCAGGAAGGATGTACACTTTCCCAATAAGTGCGTCTATCTAAGAAGGGTGATGATGGATAGATCATGAGTGTTGTGATTCATTGACAGCCTTACTTTCTGCTGTTCAAGATAATGATGACTGGTAGATAAATAGTTATTTGCAGTACTGCATTTTAATTTTAGAAAGCGCAAATCCGCTTATGAATTATAAAAATTAGTAAGTCCGCTAAAGCGCAAATGAAATGTTTAGGTCCGCAATTAGTGGATTTGCACTTTAGCGGGCTGGTGCCCACCAACGGTCAGCTGTATCCAAGATATGGACCAAATACAAACACCATGGAATGGTTGTTAAAGCCAAGCGTACTGGTAGACCAAGAAAGACATCAAAGTGTCAAGACAAACAACTTAAGGTCATTTGTCTTGAAAACCGAAAAGAAAACTAAACAGATGAAGCATAAATGTGAGGAAGCTGGAGCCAATGTATGTGACCTAACAGTAAGAAATTGTCTAAAGGAATTGGGATTTCAATAAGGACAGCTAAAAGAAAACCATCATTGACACCTAAACAAAAAAAGAACAAGACTGCAATGGGCTAAGGAGAGGCAATCATGGACTGTGGATGACTGGATGAAAGTGATCTTCAGTGATGAGTCAAGAATCTGCATTGGACAAGGTGATGATGCTGGAACTTTTGTTTGGTGCCGTTCCAGTGAGATTTATGAAGAGGACTGCCTGAAGAAAAAAGCCAAATTTCCACAGTCCTTGATGATATGGGGCTGCATGTCAGGCAAAGGCACTGGGGAGATGACTGTGGTTCATTCTTCTATCAATGCACAAGTTTACATTGACATTTTGGACAGTTTTCTCATCCCTTCAATTGAACAGATGTTTGGAGGTGATGAAATAATTTTCCAAGATGACAATGCATAGTGCCATAGGGCAAAAACAGTGAAGGTATCCCTTGGAGAAAGACACATTCAGTCGACGTCATGGCCTGCAAATAGTCCAGATCCCCAATTGAAAACCTGTGGTTTAGTGGAGAAAGCAGTGTTATGAGAGCTAAATATAATGTGCAGAGTGTAAATTTGTTGGGACAAAACAGTCTGATCAGATGAACCATTTGCTCATCATTCTGGTCAATATTTTGTTCTACAAATTGAGACTCAAAGAATTGTCTACAACTGGTACAATATTAATTGTTTATCACTTTTTCACAGTACCTTACTTAAAACCACCTGGACACTCTGTTCTCCTATTCCAGCCTTAAATCCTCTGCACAGCTCAGCGGAAGGAGCTGCTTCAGCCAACTGGTGAAATAGATGTGAGTCTCCTTTCCTGTCACAACAACATTCACAGCTATCTGGCTGAAGTCGCCTCCAGACACCCAACTGTTCACATTAGATAAACCTCCTTCATCTGCCCGTGTCGCCTTCAGTGCCAGAACTTCCATATGGGTTCTAAACATTTCCGATCAAATCCAATCAGGCTGGTCCACGCTCCACAAGCTGCAACTTTTAATGCAGTTTTAAGTTCGCTGTAAAGAAACTGCAGTGAATACAGAATCAGAGGAATGTGTATGGGTAGATTTCACTTTGCTTGGCATGATCCGTCTGTTAGGTAATAACCTGCAGAGCATCCTTAGATGCTTTGTACCATATGTGGCTTGCTATAAAGAAGGCCATAAATAGCTAATTTTCTATAGGGTTTCCAGAGATTAAAGTGAACAAGAAGCTTCATTTGATAGCCTGAATGAGTCCTTGGGGTGTTACTAGTATGCTAAATTAAACACTGTAATCTTTCTTGCTCTGTTTAAACGATGCTCTCTCCTCTCTCAGTAAGTGGCTAATTGAGTTAAATTAATTAAAAGGTCTGTGTGGTGCAGGAACAAAACCAAGTACATATGTAAAAACAAACACTGAATTGTGACAAGAAAGATCAACTAATAAGGTTCTAGTGCTTAAAAGGTGTCCTATAACCCAGGCCTTTGTTACCCAAATGAGTCTTTTGTTTTGCTACTTGAATCCAGTTTATTAAAATTAATTGAAATTCCCATCTGGTAACTTTTGGTTTTGACTCTTTGTTCAGAGGAAATGCAAATCAAGTCAGTTTTGTTTATGATAAACCAGTGTGTGCTGAATTAATATAGAATGTATATTTAGCAGTTTAGATAAAATGAATTTGCAGCTACTGCAGAAAAGTGGGCTTGTTTACACTATGTGAAAGGTTATAGTTTTCTGTTGTTGCTTTGAAGCATGAAAAATTCATAGCTCCATAAGGAAAACCAGTTCTGTATTTTCCTTTGACAGGCTTAATCCACCAGATAAGAGGGAGAAAAATATAATAATAATGACAAGGAACCACTACAGTGCACAATACAAGAAACACAAACTGTAAGAAAATGTTTTTTTAGGTCCTAATGAAACTGTTCAGGGATCCTACCCAACACAATGATTATTATTTATTAATGAACAGCTGTGGAAGTGCAGTCGAAAGAGTTTTACAAAGTCATGCAGGGAAACCGAGAGAAACAAAAAGCAATTATAAAAAGGGACTCGTGTTATTGTACTTATCGATTCCAACCTTTGAGGTGTTTGATAGTTTAGCATTTGCAGACCAACTCTGCAGAATATCTGATCTGTGCAGCAACTCACTGTCAGCAAACTAATTGACTTTTTTTCTCACAGTTTTGAATTTAATTGACATTCTGAGCAGCGCAAAATTACATCCTGGGTTGTTTGACAAATACTGACAAAAATACATTTGCTGAATAAATGCAAATTCTGACAATAAAGACAGCAACCATAATGCATTCTTTCAAAAAATAAATAAATAAAAATAAAAAATAGGCCTGACAAATAAACTGGAAGAACAATTAGGTTGGCATGGAACAAATATTTTTAAATCAACCTGTAATGTTTATTACTGATAACCACCCTAAAGCAAGTTTAAAACAAAAAAGAGATTTGTGCACATGAGCCTTCTGAGTCAGACAGAAAGCAAGAAAAAAAACTCATCTTTATTTGTCCTTGATGGAAATGAAAACTTTGCCTTTGATCCATTTAAGCCTGATTTTATAATAAGATGGTGTGGCATTGCTTTCACTTTCTCTGCTTGTGAGCTAATTCCATTCCCTTACTTGAAATTTTGTTTTCTGCACATCTCTTGTTGCACATTTGTTGTGAATAGAGCGGTTACGACACCTCATCAGCATCACTGTTGTCAGCTGTTGTGTCTGCGCATCGCTACAACTCGGGTCAGCGCTCGAGGCTATCCGCTTTGATTAATTCAAAATGTGACGAGAGACAGCAATTTATCTGCTAATGAATGAGCATCACACCTCAATTGTTTCCTGATTAGTTCAAACCTCCGACATTAATCTCTTGAAAGGGATGTTTCATGGAGAAATGCTCTGCATAAGCTGTATTTTCTTGCTGACTGTGCTTAAATGTGTGTACAAAGTGAGAGTGGCTATTGACAAAAAGCAGATTGTGATGCAAAGGATCAATTTATTGCTTACAGACCACATGTTTGCACAGCTGAAACATTTCAACCCAAATTCTGTGAGAAATAAATTTAACGCTTTCGGCACAGAAATCCATGTTGCCCCGAATGTAAAACACCAAGCAAATCAAGTTCACTGGATGCATTTTTCACATCTGTGTGTTGGGGCAGAAAAGATAAGGGCGACAAGCAAAACACAGCTTGTTGATTTTTATCAATTTATTGCAAAAGAAATGTTAAGCCAAATATTCCTGGGATGAGACAACTCCATGCAACAAAATATCTAACCTTAGGCTAACCAGTGCCTTATAAACAAAACTTATCAGAAAACAAACAAGGATACAGAGTCTTGACTGGAAGGAATCACATGGAAATGGTTCTATTTTCAAATGATTGTTAGTTTCTTGGTATAATGACAATAATGTTTCAAAAGAAACATTTTTATTTGTATTTTACTTATTGGCATATTTTGTTGTTCTATATACAGTATGAGATGTGTACAAAGGAACTGACACTAGTCTAACCTATCCATCCATCCATCCATCCATCCATCCATCCATCCATCCATCCATCCATCCATCCATCCAACCATCCATCCATCCATCCATCTTCAGGCATGTCAGGCTCATTGTTTGCTCCAAATTGTCCCTATATGTGTGTGTCTTTGGTTTTTAAACTGCATTCATTTTTTTCATACTACAAGAGTTTTATTTCTGTTGTTGGTCTTCATCTCTGCGGACACTTTAATCTGGTGTGGAGACAAACATTAAATAAGAAAAAAATTTAACACATCTGGACACCTTTTTTTTTCTTTCAATAAAGAAGATTACTTTCTCTAACCACTACATCCTCCATCTGCAGAACATAACACTGACCCTGCTGGAGCGTCTCTTAAATAATTAACACAAATATATTGTTCCTCTCACAGGATTTAGCACTTTCAAGAGCAGAAGCTCACTGCTAATTTCTTTGTCTTGTGCTTCGTATCAGTTATCAAGTTTGCAGGTTTTTTTACAGGCTTCATTTGTGATTAATACGCCAGAGTTTGTGAACATAACCTTGTCCTGATGCCATGTAGTCACCATCTGAGACAACACAAAGACGGATCAATAGTCTATTTCTTGGCTCCATTCATACTTTGATTTAGAGGTGTGAGTAAGTGGCATTAATATTGCTTCACTCATATGTTGTAGCTTCGATGCCCAGACTGGTAAGTAGAGAAAACAGCAAATGGTTTGCATTTAAATGTAAAATGCACACAGGTGTAGAAGATTTATGGGCTTTTGATGTGAAAATGAACCTTTTTATCATCTCTAAGAAAAAAAATCCCATTAATTATGCTCAGCGATGTAGGGCAGCATGCTTTATGCATGCAGGACAACACCTACATGCCATCCACACAGCCACACATAAACGTGGCATAAAAGCCTCCGTCACACATCTTTTTTGTGTCACTTATTGTCCTCCTTCTATTTCCTTTTCCATCTATTTCCTTCCAGATCAAGGGAAGATGGTGCCTATTTCCAGCAGTCACTGTGTGAGAGGCGTGGATCACTCTGGACAGGTCACATGTCCATCACAGGGACACACAGAGACAAATGAGACATCCTCACTCACTTAAATCAAAACGAAATTTAGAGTTACTGTTACTCTAACGTGCATGTTTTTTATTTGTAAAGGGAAATCGGTGTACACAAAAGGTGTTTTGGCATTGTAAGGCTCGACTCGTCCCGCCCCAGCTCCAATTGGCCCGGCCTTATTCTACCCCGGCTCTAGTTGTGTTTGCGTGGAGCAGAGAGTCGGGCGAGATCATATTAAACTTGGGCTGTCGTGGAAATATTTGTTTATCAAGGAACAGAAATACGTGATTCAAAGAATAAAGGCACTTCCTAGAATGGTCATCTGAGTTTGTTTCTTGCAATAAACAATGCACAAAAGTTGTCACAGCTCCCTGTCAAAAATTTGTGCTCACTTCTGCTCCCATGAGGTGGTTAGGAGGCCTCCTATATGTACTGTTTAACATCCTAAGTGCCTTGCTTGCAAAACAGACATAAATACAACTAGTTATAACTAAATAGTGATTGCTGTTAGCAAATGTTGTTCTGGCTATAATTTTTTTAACAGAGTGCCGTGAAAAACTGGGTGATTTTGGCTCAAAACAAAAAGTATTTTTTACATTACACACGCTTATTTTGTTTTATTCGCAACACAAACTCGGCCCAAATAGATTCAGGTCTCTGGGTTCCGGAAATCAGGGTGGAACTGGGCCATAATGGCTAAAGCAAACATGCTGAACCCGGGTTTGAAGCCATGCCAGACTCAGTGGTCCGGGCTTTGCAGTGGGAAAAGGCCTAAATAAAACCCATTTGAACAGATGCAAACTCCACTCAGAAAGGCTCCAGTCCAGTCCTGAAGCCTTCTCGCTGAGAGGTGACAGCTCTAACCACTGCTGCCTCACTGCCCTCAATCAATATCAGATTGTTTGCTTCAATAGTCATTTGTACACTTTTGATTTGTTAGAGGAAAAAGAGACTTTTTAATGTAAAAATCAATACAAAAACATGTTAACTGGAGTAAGACAAAGAGTAATAGAAGTGAGGACAGAAATCGGTAAGAAAATGTGTTAATGAGCAAAAAATATTTATTTCAAAGTTAAATGCAATTGTTATATACAAATTATTGATTTGATTGATTTGATTTATTGATTTAACAGGAAAAGATTACTAAAAATCAAGCCTGACTCAGCATAATTGCTGTTTTACAGCAGGYTCCTGTTCTGCAGCACATAAAACACTCAGAAATACAGCATCACAATCACATCATTATACACCATAGACACAAAGACAAACAAGCATACCATATGTTCCTTGTTATCACAAATATAATATGATTATTGCTGTACATGGGCTGACTAAAGCTCTGATGACAGATGCCATCTTTCATTCAGAACATTAAGATGGTTTTCAGCCCTGTAAAGATTGATTGTTTGTTTTTAGAAAAGTTCAGAGGCTGTTCCTGTCCTTTTTTAATCTTTTTTAATCTATATTGGGACTATTTCATTGAGATTTTTTATCTTAATAATTATCTTCATTGAGTTATTTTTAAAGTAAGTTCAGTCTGAATGATAAAATTTTTATCAAAGCTGTTTGGTGGAAAAAAGCACACAGTTTTATCAAAACCATAGAATTATTTTGTCTTTTCTTCATCTGTTTTCTTCACCTCTTCTTCATCTTCAGGTGTCACTTCATCAGGTTTTGCTTTTTCTTCCTCTCCTCCTTTCTCATCTTTTTTCAGTCACATCCCCCTTTTCTCCTTCTTTCTCTCCCTCTCCATCTCCTTCAGCCTTTGCACCTTCTTCTTCAACTTTTGCTTCTTTTGTTGCTTCTTCCTCCTCGTCTTCATCTTCGACCTCCTCTCCGCTCAGGCGCTCCAATTCGGTGATTCGCTGCTTCAGAGCTTTGCCAGAGCTTTTGTAATTTCCTAAAACCTTCTTAAGCTTAATTTGCATCAGCTCCATTGTGCTGTACAACTTATTGACCTTCTCCTCCAACTCTTTAACCTCAGGCTTGATGTTGGCAGGATCCAAATCTATTAGACCATCTTTCATGAGGATTTGGCGGCCCTTCTCCTCCAGTATGGCTTTGGCATCTGGATACTCAGTCAACGATTCCATTAAATCATCCTTTGACAGGCAGAAGAGGTCAGAGTACCCAATGCTGCGAATGTTGGCTGTCCGCCTGTTGCCCGCTTTGCTGCCTTTAATATTAAGGATGCTGATTTCACCAAAGTAGCTGCCACTTCCTAACACGACAAACTGAGTGACACCATCATCAGCAACGACAGCAAGTTTGCCGTCCTTTATGATGTACATCTCTCGGCCAATGTCGCCCTTCTTGCAGATGTAATCGCCAGGGCTGAACACCTGCGGCTGGAGTTTGAGTACAAGTTGGATCAGAAGGCCTGCCTCACAGTCTGCAAAGATACGAACTTTCTTCAGGGTGTCCATGTGGACCTGGATGCCTATTTCTGCTTTCAGCTTGTCTGGGAGATACCTCAGTACCTCTCTCTCGTTCTGAGCTTTACCATTATTCCACAGGTAGTCGAACCACTTGATGACTCGCAACTCAAGTTCCTTGTTGACCTTTCGAACCTATAATAAAGATGAATCAGAGCATTATTAGAATAAATGGATGCACATTTATTGCTCAATGTACAATCATTGAATGGCTGCTAACCTGCATGTACTGCTTGATGTTATCAATGCGGGCTTGGAACTGAGCTTGGGCAGCATTCATATTGGAAATCATGGTGGCAATGTTTCCCACAATGGTGGCGAAGATCAAAACTCCAACTAAAAAGTCTACCACATGGAAGAAAAATTCTGAGTCTAGAGCTGGAGGTGGGGTTTCTCCGATGGTGGTCAGAGTCAGTGTGGACCAGTAGAGACTGAAAGCATACTTCCTCATTGGCTTCCCAAATTCTGGCTCCTCGGGATTGTCCAGAGCTGGGTAAACCCACTCATCCGCACCAAAACCAATAGCTTTAGAGAAAGAAAAGTACAGGCAGGCGTTCCAGTGGATGATAATGAGGATGTACATGATTAGGTTTGCGATGCGAAAAATGTTTGGGTAGTTGGTTTTGGTCTCTGTCCTGGTGAAGAACTCCATCATTCGGCCAATTCTCAGCAGCCTGTTGATGCGGATCTCTGGGTAGTCAAGGCCGAGGACAAAATACAAGATGTCTGTTGGTAGCATAGAGAGAACGTCAAGATGGAACTGGCGGCTGTTGACATAGTTCTCTTGAAGCAACTTCTTGTCTTTCACCAACAGACCTTGTTCAAGATAGCCTGCAATCAAACAGATACAGTATAACATTTATAAAAATATTTACCAAGGTAAAGACAAAACCCCCAACTTCTTAATATAAATACTAAAACAGCCATAACTCTGAACAACCAAGCCACTTTTGTGGTCAGAACACTGATCTCATCTGTTATAAAGGTTCATTCCTATGAGTAATCATACATCAAATTCATAGTTTTCATTTCATTTTTGCTGCATTCATGGTGATTTACTGATTTCTTTTTCTAAAAAACAATGGAAACATTTTTTGTAATGTACAGTATTACCCATTATCATTTTTCTATGAAGAAAAATGAATACACTCATTATACAAAGAAAATAATTTCAGTAGTTTGTGTTTAGAAATGTAAATATATAAATTGTCAGTTTTTTTTTGTGAGTTGAGACAAGAAAGATTTGGTCATCTGTACCTGTTCTGGTTCTGACAAACATATCAGCCAGGTAGATGAGGTCTGAACTGTAGTCCAAAATAATCCAGTAGATTATGTAGTCATGCTGCAGCTCTTCAAAGCATGCCCTGTTAGCAGAAAATCAAACAAAAAAAAGGTTTTGTAAAAACAAAATATTTTTTTATCACCACTACTATAAAGTTTAGGTTTAGGTTTATGTTGTGTGGACTCTCAGATTGTGTTGCTCCAAATGTGCGGTGCAGTTTTAATACAGGAGGAAGGAGTAGCTTTTTTTTTTTTATTCTGGGGCCTGGAGAATTGCAAGCAGAACAAACCAAGATGTCAGGCCAAATTTTTGGGGCAGTGTTCTGTTTTGAGTTATTCCACTTTTTACTATAGTATTCAAGTATTCAAAGTATTCAAACTAAATAAATGCAGTATTCATTTTATTATTTTATGGAAGAAATGTTTTCTCTCTGAAGGAGGTGTCCCTCTAAATCGTTGGCTGACATGCACATTTGTTTTAAATCTGTTTACTCATAACTTTGCAAGCATGTAAATGTGAAAATAATAAATAAACAAATACAAGAATACATAAAGTTTTAGATCCATTGCTCTAAATCTTTTAACTCAACACACTAATATTAATTATTGTTTTGATTTCATATTGAATCCTTGAAAGCAATCAGAATTACAATAAATGTGTTTTTTTTTCTCTGCATCTCTAAAAAACTACAGTAAAGAAGTAAAGGCTCACATGATCATAATTTAATAATGAATAAAATCACCTGGCTATGATCATAGTCCAGTTATACATGACAGGTAAAGTGATGATGAAAAGCCAGTTGTAATATAAATTTCCAGCTGGATTGATAACAAATATTTCTTTGGGCCTGTAAAAACACAAAAGCAAACAGGAATTAGATTATCTAAACACGTGATTAATTTGTTTAAAAAAACTGTGAATTATTTACTTTTCTTTCTCCTTATCCTTCTCTTTTTCTTTCTCCTTTTCCTTTTCTTTTTCTTTCTCCTTTTCTTTTTCTGTTTCTTTTTCTTTCTCCTTTTCTTTCTCTTTTTCTTTTTCTTTCGCTTTTGTATCTATTGCATCTTTTTCTTCCTTTGTTTTCTTTTTTCTGTAACATGCAAAAAACACAAAAAAGTGAGGGCAAGACCATTTCATTTCAACATTTGTCTAAAAGTCCTAATGTGAAACAATTACACTTTCTTCTCCTTTTTCTCTTTTTTCTCCTTTTTCTTTTTCTTCTTTTTTTCTCTGAAAATGAAAAAAAGACACATTTACTGGGTAAACTGAACAGAGACTAAGGAGAAGAACCTCACATTGTTCTTTGTTGCTTTAAGTCATACTTACTCTTCATTGTTATTGCTGTTGTTCATATTGGCCAGAAAGTTTGACTGAGGGGCCCTTCAGAAAGAAGCACAGTGTGTCACACATCAAGTTCATGAAGTGACAAGCCTTCGCTCAGGAGTCATTTGGGGATTATGAATTCTGCATTTAAATTAGAACTATGTCTTTGAAGTTTGGCTTACAGGTCATCCTCACTTTGCTCTTCGCTGTCTGTTGTTGGTTCAGCTGCTGTGTGAGCTGTCACAAGGCAGGGGAGGTTGCTAGACATGGTCATATAGGAAGTTTAATCTGAAAAAAAGAAAAGCATAGATAAACAACAATTGCATAGAAATATTAATTATGTGCATTATTGTAATATATCTTGTGGTCTATTAGCATTTGAACTATGTTGCAAACAACTGTCAACTACAACCACACCAACTTTTAGCTCAATGTCTTAACAAATGACTATTTTCCTGTTTTGACTGTGACAGTCACCTTGACTTGGGTTGGCTCTGAAAATTAATCAATTGTGGGTGTACCTCCATTGAATACTTTCAGAAAGTTCTGTTAAAATACATGCTTTGGATTCAAATTACAAAGAAACTCACTCAGACACACAGACATGGGCAAAGCCAAAGTCATTATTGCCCACACTTACAAGCTAAAATGTCCTTTTATTAAGGAAAACAGTAAATAATGGCCAACGTTTCGTGAATATTTTGGATTTTCAAACTTTATCCTTGCATTTAGCAGTCACATACTCCCCAGAGCTGCTGCTTTTCACTTCAAAAACTAAATTAACTTTTGGGAAAAAAAGGGAGAAGAATATAAAACAGTGTACAGTATACCATAAAGCATTGTATTGTTGCCCTTCCTGAGTTTGCAATAGCTCACAAAATAAGAGAGCAGCCCTAGGGAATGCTGCAAAGCACAAGAAAAAAAAAAACATGATTGCAAAAACATCCCACAGCTGCATGAAGAGTCTTTACTCTTAAGTTCATTCATCACCTGCACATATTTGACCTTATTTTATGCTAATCAGGAAATCATCATTTCATGTAAGGTAAGTATAAAACTGATCAATAGCTTTTTTCTGCACATAAACACCAAAGTGATGAATTTTGGAGACAAGTCATGTCGACTGATCAAGTTTAAAGAAAAGGTTTTGACAACAGGGAAAAAAACTGGAAGCAAAAAGAGCATGAAAATGTCTACTAGAAGTCTGGATCAATTCTGATTTAATCTTGTAGCCAATGACAGAATGAGACAGAAATTAAATCAAAAATTAAAACAATTTAGATAGAATGTTGTGTAAAAAGGAAGCATGAATGCTGAGCGCTGAATGACTGCTGATATCTGTTGAAAAAGCTGAAACCGATGTATTTGAACTAAAAGAGGCAGAACATTGGCTATAAGCTAAAAGTAGCAAAAAGGTAGCTAAAACCATCAAAAGACCAACTGAAAGCATATAGTAAAGGGTTAGCTAAGGGCTAAAATAAGCTAAAGATTCAAATTAAAACAACTCATCCAAAGCAGCCTAAAAATGTCACATTAGGAAAAACCTTAAGAAACTATGATGTTTTGTTGATCAAATGATAAACAAATTTGTAATTTCATGTTTCACAGCTTGTCTGGCTCAAAATCAGATCAATGCAGACAGCATCATGGTTTATTTAATACAGGTGTTTMTGTTTATGAAAATAAATCACAGATAAAAATGAGTTTTGTGGCTGTGCATTGCTGAGTGTTTATCTATTGCTTTGAAGATTTGGAGAAAGGAAAACACAAAAAAAAAAAAAATCACATCACAGCGAAATGTGTTCTTCTCCCAAACAAATGCAGCTCAATTCRTAAGGTCCCATCTGTATCTATAAATATTAACCAAATCACACAAGAACATTTGCATGTTTATTACTTTGTTTCCATTCTGCCACTCACAATACTGACAAATGTTCATCCACGTCATACCTTTTGTGATTCTAACTTTCCATGGTAAATAATTCAGAACAACTGGTGTGATGTCTCTGGGTTTGCAAAATCAGAACTCATGCAAAAAGAACTAGAATTAAATATTAATATTTAAATTTATGCAGTCCAAATTCACAACCAGTAGTGAATTAATTGAGAACCCATCGAATGAATGATCACACTGCGCAGCTGAATCTAAAAATGATCCGGTTCGGAATAGCTTACCTTTGTAATCCTTAATGTTTTGAGAAGTCCATTTTCCTTTAGACAACGTGAAGTCAGTCAATCACAGAACAAAAGTTTATAAGAACATTTAAGAAAGCAACAACTGTAAAGAATGGTTCTAACTAACGATGACATTGAGTCTCAGTGACCTCGGATTTGTGGATTAGAGTTGGCAGAGACAAGACACAATCACTCACCCTCTTTTATTGTCCACTTTAGTCAGAGATGAAAAAAACTTAGTTCAGCTAATAGTGATGACTGATAAAATCAATGTTGAAGTTTCCATTTTTTTATCTGCAAGTCCCTGTCATTTTCTTGAACTTTTGTGGAACAACATGGGATTTAGTCTGCTCAAACACAGACACATACACAGCTCTCCTACTCAGCACTTTCAGCCATATCCCACTCTGATCCTATTAGATCAGTCTCAGCAGAACAGATTTCAGATCAGATGGATGCGGCACCTTTTAAATGCATCAGAATGATGAGTGACAGTAAAGCTGAACCTCTCTTAGTGCYGAGGAGAGGCGGTCTGCTGGTTCAGTGGCTCGCCCTTTTGGCTGCAGGGAATTTTGCAGCTTCATGACGACCAAATTTATTTGAACAAAACACAGGTTTGTAGAAGAATGTTCTTTATTTCACACTGAACACTCACACTTGAATGTCTCACATATATTGCACAGATATATGTGGATCTTGGAAAATTAAAAAAAATGTTATCCAAACTTTTGGAACATAGATTTATAATATAAAGAAAGCTATAAAAATACAAATTAGTCAAGACTTTCCAGTAAACAAAAGCAAAAAAATAATGATTTTAACAAAAATCTGTAAACATGCAGTTTTTACTTTAATTCTTTTGGTATGTCATTTTGTTTTCTCTTATTTAGGCCACAGCTGCATTACTCATGGATGTTTAAAGCTCTGAAGTTCAGCTAACAGGGGAGTAACGAGAGGTGAAAAACTACAGAGCAGGAAGGTCGGCCCCAGCGGTCTTGACGGGCCCAGCATCAACAGTGCCAGCWTCTGCAGCAGCCCCGGGGGCTGAGGGGTCGCTGTCAACAGGAACAATATCAACCGGAGGCACATCCACAGCACCGCCATCTACTGGCGCAACATCTGCAGGGACGTCGACCACTGCAGGATCCAGAGCGGCCCCAGGTTCTGCTGCAGGGTTCGCCGCAGGTTCTGCTGGTGCTGCCTCCACCACAGCTGGCTCAGCCTCTGCTGCCTCGGCCTCTTCGGCTTCCTCTGCCTCGTCTGAGTTTAAAGGAGCTGCAGCTGCAGCAGCAGGGGCTGATGCAGCTTTGGTGTTTCCATCCTGTCATGGAAGTGGAAGGAATTTTTAAAAGAGCCTTGTTAAATTGATTCCAGAGCCAGCAGACTTAACATGTTGATGTCTTTTCAGTTATTATAAGATATATCATATTAGTTTAGTTTCATTTTGACAAAAGAGAATATGATTGCATTTATCAATTCATGATTCCAAGTTTTACGAAATGCAACTGGGGCTATTTTGGAGGATATTTTTGAAATTAGATCAAAATTAGACTGGCCATTAATTTATGAAATATATCATTAAACAATGCGTTATTTGTGTGGAAAGAAAACGTTTAATTTACTATAAATCAAAGCTGCCTATTCACCTCAGTCTCCTCATCTGAATCATCTTGTGCTTTAAGAGGAGCTGGATTCACCTGAGATTATAAAAAATAATAAGAAAAGCACTTTTCATTTCAAATAACATGATCAGTTATAACAAGTTAAACATTTTTATCTTGTATTTTTGAATACTTGTACAAACTTACCACTGCTGAAAAGGCTGGAGGAGCCTGAGCAAACAAATAATTCATGAATACATATATAGTTTTGGACAGATTTTCGCACATAAAGTTGAGCAGAATTTAATTGAATAAAACTTACGGGAGCATCAGCTGCATGAAGGAAGGGGTTTCCTGCTGCTCCCTGCAAAATAAACGTATCAAGACTGATGATTAGTGTCTTTTTATTTGACGCCATAAGATGACCACAGGTATTTGTTTAGGTAATAAATCAATCATCCTTCTACCGACTGCTGGTAGAGTCTGTACATCTCCATCAACCTTAGGGCCTCATTAGCATGAGCTGAAACCTGTTAAAAAGAAAAAGAAAAAAAGAAAAGACATCATCAGACATGAGCTGAAATAAAGCCAATTATTATTCTCTCCCAGACACCCAGCAGGCTGCTTGACTGATGAAATAGCAAAAAAGAGAAAAGAAATGTGACGCGCCAGAACTGAAAGATACCCTCCTACCTCACTGCTTTTACTGCCTGGTGCCTAAAGTTTAAAAGAGAAAGAAGCAAAATGAAAGCAGTTTTGAGTCTTTAGGATTTTTTACGATTTGTTGCTCAAAAAATAAAATAAAACTCTCAGGTAAGACTCACAGGAGCAGCAAAGGTCGTAATCGTCAGGCACATCAGGATCACAAACTGCTTCATTTTCAGTCCTTTATGCAGAAAAAAAATTCACACAGAATAGCTTTAAACTCTTTTTACGTTAATTGATCATAATAACAATTTCTTTAAAAAAACAACATTAAAAAAGACGATGTGCAGGATTTAAATGATGACTGCAGAAACTAAATATATTGTAATTGAATATAAATCCATCTCACCTTTTCTTCTTGGCTCAGAGCAAACGTCAATGCGTGCCTCCTCAGAGATGAAGCGAAGTCTACATCATGTCTCACACGGATGCCCTTTATATCCTGTAATAGCCAATCAAATGCAGTGAAATGTGCACAGCTATGTGTTTGAAGGAGACTCCTTATATGTCAAAATTGAAAAAAAGAATGGTATGTGGTGTTGAGGCCCTTGTTATGGGTAATTACATGCTGTGCAAGTATGCTTAGCACACATTCTCAGCTTTATTGCATTAAAACCAACACAACGCAATAATTAATACCAGAAACAGAAAGGAAATACGTCTTAAATGCTGATGAATCTTGCTCTTAGTTGGCTGTTTGCTGCAGGCTAAAATGGTATTATTTCATATAAGCATTAGCACTCTWTACGTACAAAACACTTTTTTACCAGTTTTTGCATACTGTACATAAACACTTTAATTTATGGTTGGTATGTTTAAAAAAGCACACACACATTGCTAATGAGAAGCATGGGTTTCTCTTTGTGTTTGTTTTAGCTGCTGTGGCTGCACATAACAGTGATTTAGTTAGGTCTATTACGTTTGTTAGAATTTTGCTGGTTCCAGATCAGATAATGAAAGACTTGAACCTGCAAAAGCGTTACCCAGACTATCTTGACTCAAACCTGTCGAGACAAAAAGTTCCCACTTAAAGACAACAATCGCTTCATTAATTCCTCAAAGCTTTGCTGTGATCCCGCCATGAGATAATATATTTGAAGGTTAATAAGGTTAAAGGAGGATTATTTCCTGGTGCAACAGGAATACTTCTCTTTAACCATTTTAATTAAAGAGCTTGTCATTACAGCAAAAAAAAAAACAATCTAATTAATATTTCTGATCTGTTGATTCATGATTTTGTTAAGGTATTTATGCTATTGATTGCAGTTTAATAAATGCTGATTGGGAAGTTTTGCTGCACAGTAATTTCTACCTTATAATGAAAATGTTTGTTTGGAGCTGGAGCCAAAACTCAGAGACTGTTCCCAGAACACCTGGGCACCCCAATCTGACATCCTGTAAATCATTTTTGGAGATGGAGAGTCCATAATTAAAAGAGACAGAACAATCAACAGTGGCAGGAGCTTTACGCAGGTGATTATTGCAGGATTGCCATGAGACTACAGCCTGACATGATTAGGTCTTGCTCATGAGCTGTAATAAAAATCACTTACCACCCCCGCCCATTCACAAACATGAGTGTCTGATGACTCCGAGGGCAGGAAGTAGAAAATGTACTGATCCAGGACCTCATCACTCAAGTTGGATTTTGTAGACCATCTTTACTTTAGTTGTCTGATGGGACTTTTTATACTGACTAGGGCAACAATGCTACTTTCATTAAACATCTGTATTTTATAATAATGGACACAATACAAGGTCTCAGAAGTTGAAGATGGGGACAAGCATCCCAACAGGATGGTCCCATTTTTATTCAGAGAGGCTTTTAGTTAAGCATTGTTTACTGTTTTTAATTTGATCTTGTTTACGTATATGTATGCATTGTTTTTGTTGTTTTGAGTTATTTTGCTTTCTTTTAAGCACTTTGTGATGTTTGTGTCTGTGAAAGATGCTATATAAACGAAGTTTACTTAGGGTGTATTCAGACCAGGAAAGTCCTTTGGTCCAATTGTTTGGTCTGGACCAAAAATTGACTTTTTTTTTTTCGTTTGGTGCGGTTTGCATTCACATTGTGCTTTTTTTGCAAATGAACTATAACTTGTAAACAAAGCCATGAGACTGACGATCATTGCTCCCATTGGACAAAAAAAGGACGGTGGCGGGACTGAGCCACAGACCCAGAAGAAAACAAGGAAGTCCTGCATGCTGCGGTTCTGATGCGCACATGTTTGCTGATAGTACAACTGCAATAGCATTAAAAATGTCAGAAGCAGCTAATTTAATGGTGGTTTTGTGATGATATTCTAATTTTGGAGCGGCGTCAGTAAATGCGTCCCGCAACCCAAAGGAGACGAGGTGCTCTGCGTGTTCTGACCCACAACATGCCGGCAGTAGAGCTGCTAACAGGAGACGACGAAACAGGTATGTTTTCAGTTTATTTAGCTCAGCAACGGTGGCCTGTGAAGTCCAAAAAGGTGCATGTTTAATGCAGTTGGTTCGGTTAGAGTCCGGTCTGTATTCACACCAGAAGAGAACTGAAGCGAACCGCACCAGAGTTCGTTTGGAAGCGGACCGAGACCACCTCAAAAAGCAGGTCTCSGTCYGGTTGTTTGATCCGTACCAGAGTTCACTTGAGTGTATTCACACCTGCACAAAAGGTCCGGACCAACGCTGGAAACGAACTCTGGTTCGTTTAAAGCGGACTTACCGTAATTACTTGCTTACTCAGTCTGGATCAGCAGTTCCACACCCAACCATAGTAACGCATTCCTGAAAACTCCTGTAATGGAAATATTTTTGCTATGTTTTTATATATGTCAGGTTATAAGATATTTAACTGACCCAGTGGCATCAGCTTTACTGTGTTGTTTTGGTTATCTATAAATAGGGACATTTTATGACCAGGACAAGACCTGCTAGGAGTAATCACTTTTGTTGTTGCAATTTATCACTGTTATTTTTTCTCTCGTTTTTTTTTTTTTTTTTTTTTTTTTTTGGCCTAGGCACCTGGTAGTGACATCATGGCCTGATCTGTTTGTTGAAACAGTATAGTTAGCCATTAAATGGACTGTACTTATATAGTGCCTTTCTATCCAACCAGGAATTCCCTCTAGTTTGCAACTTCTACTTCCTGTTTATTACAGCTAAACGTCAGTCACTGACAAAATTTCACTTTATCTAGCCAGGTTGATTCTCTCCAAGCCAGGAGACTGAATTTGCATTTCTGTTTTTATTTTTTCTATTATGCAAAATTTTAAAAGTTCGCTCACACTTTGCCAATTTGTATTGCACTGGGATGGAACCATTGCTATTGAGACATGTAGTCTTGTTTACACGAGAGACCACATTCAAAATAAAAGGATCAACATTATTAGTGGAAACTCTGGTCTCAAAATTTTGATCCATTGTGAAAGTCGTGTAATTTTCCAGTTCATCTTCATATGAATGTGGCCTTTTATGCAGGTCTGTAAAGYTTGAAACTCCACACTACTCCAGATGGGAAGCAAAACGTCTCCAGCTTCATCTGGTTGTTTTTCTTCTTAATCTCTTTTTGGATTGATCATGACATGGGTGACTTCGAATCTTTTCCAGCTTAAACCAGGTCCTGCAAGCTCCAAAAACCCAACAAGAAAAGTTGGAGGACGTGTGGTCAAGTATGCATGACTATTGTCTGGATGTTGTAAAARTGGGACGTTTCAGCCAAGTTTGCATCTAACATCCAAATAAAAACAACGTACGTGAGAAAACACTGGGATTTTTAAAAATGCTCTCCAAAAACAAATTTGAAATGTTATGAAATGTCATCTGGTAACACATTTGGCGACAYATTAGAACAACATTGTGTTTGTCAAGCTTTGTTGGTTCAACAAAGCAAAACTTCTACAAACACATAAACTTGCATAGGAATTTGTTGGGGAGTTTCAGTGACTTGATCTCCTTCAAGCACCTTTTTGTTTGCCTGAATGCTTTTTTCTTTCAGATTTAGCTTTCCTTCTCCTGTGCACCTGTTTGTGGTAATAAATGTGTCAATGATTTATTGTTTCAGGGCTTCTGTCATTTTGTCTCTCTACCCTGTAAGGTTCATAGATGTTCTGTTCAAAGCAGCTCTTTTTTCCTCTCAGAGCTCCCATGTTTATAATTAAAACACCTGACAGCTGTACATATATTTTTTTTTAATTTTATCACAACACACAAATATCTGTTGTCATGTATAAGGAAGAAATACAGTTTTTTGCCCCCCAGTTGTTGAAAGACGTTTATGATGTTCCTGGAATGAAGAGACAGATAGCAGGAAAGGATGGTGCCTGTTTATGTTTTTAAGTGTCTTTGAAGAAATGATGTTAAATCTTGTTGTGACAGGCTTTGGTCTCCAGGCGAGCGGGTATCAGATGGATTTTTCCCTTGGTGGTGTTTATATTTGTACAACAGTTAAATTTCACTGTGGGGAAATTTGCCAAACCACTGAAGCAATTTACATTGTGTGATATCCTGCAGCAAACTAGACATGATATACTGCTCTTGTTCTGAAGAGACAGGGTTTGGATAATTTTAGACTTGTGTCAATGAACACATTTGCATGTGGTTTTAAAATGTTCTCTTTTTTTGTCTATAATTTTATGTTATTTTTTTAAACCCATGCCCTCTGGCATTCCCATAAACCACAAGCCTCCCTTTTTAACTGAATTACCTTTACAAAAATGTAAAAGTGCCTTACATCTGCTGAACATTTTCAGCCAGGATCTAAAGGGGGGAAAAGTGGATCGGTTTAGTTAAAAAAAACGGTGCTACTGATCTCATAGCTTGTACTTTTTCAGGTCTTGTGATTCATAAATAATTATTAACAGTACAGTGGTCCCCAACCATCAAATCAAATACCGAAACTTATTTATGGATTGATTAGTACTGATCCACATTGAAATATTAAARTTTTATCTTCAAAAGAAATCTGTAGAAACCCTTGGGACATTTTACTTTGGAAAAACTTCCTCTTCCGTTTCAGTCACACTTGACATTTGCAGTTTTTTTCCCCCCACATGCTAACAAATGTTCAAGCTAACCCCAGCAAAATTAAGTAAAAAGAGACCTCACTTTTCCCTCATTTGTCCGTTTTTGTTGCRTAAAAATTATTGGGGACCATTGAAATAGTTTAAACAGACAACTTTGGAGTTTAGTCTTGGCTGAGCTGTTAGAGTATCATTCCAGTCAGAATCAGTCTCTCCAAACTGAGTTCATTCAAAGAGCTATCTACAACAGGTAGGATGTTAACTGTTCGTAATCTTTCCGTACAGCTTCATTAAAGTTTAAACAAAGCAGAAACAAACTGTTTAAATACAAAAGTGGGAAAAACAAAAATGCTTGCTTTATATTTTTTTATTTTTCAAAATAAAGTGACATAAAAGAAAAAAGTTAGAGGCATGCATCTCACAGTCTAAAATTCTA